TCCTTCCTTCCTTCCTTCCTTCCTTCCTTCCTTCCTTCCTTCCATTTTCCTAATGTTTTCTTTCTTTCTTTCTTTCTGCAGGTATGATCACTGCAGTGGGCCTCTCCAATCTGCAGTTTGTGGACATGAATTCCTCCCGCAATCTTTTTATCCTAGGTTTTGCAATGTTTTTTGGGCTCACCCTTCCAAATTATTTAGATTCACATCCAAATGCTATCAACACAGGTATTGAAAACTCATTGAGTCTTTGCCTAGGGAGATATGAAAACTATGCCAGAGTGTTTGGGGTTGGATGGTACAGGTGATCTTTCCCCGTTCTTCTTGAACAACTTTGAACTGTTTCTATTCTTCTGAACAAATACTCTGGGAGTAGTTATGTTCGTTGGTTGTCTAGCATGTTGCATTATCTAGTTGCTGTCTCACAACATGTCATAGTCAGCATCTTGGATTGAACAGAGAGAGGGGGGATGGAGACCCACCATATTTTAAGGACAGTAAAGGAGTAACCAGGTTGGTGAGGGAAAGTAAACTTTATGAAAAACAATAGAAATAATTTAGGCTAGAAAAGGTATTGAGGGGAGACATGATATCCATCTTCAAATATTTGAAGAGTTGTCATCCAGTGCACACCCAACACTCAGGACAGGTGGAAATGTCAAGGAAACAGATTCTGATGAAACATCTTCCTGTACAAATGACATATTCTTCTTTGCTGGAAGCATTTAAGCAATGGCTTAAATGACATTCCTGTAATCTTGTGCTGTAAATCATGCACTGAGCAGTGGCCTGGGATGTTAGACTAGATGCCATCTAGTTTTTCTGAAATTTCGCCCTGTGTGATCAGGCTTCCCAACTTTATGTTGATTTACAACTGATTTTTGGAGAAAGCCTATGTTGCAGCTTCTCTAACTATCCATGAGATTATAAGGTGAACCTTGCTTAAAATAACAACCCGTTTACAGTTCTGCCACTTTTTTTTTCAATAAATAGTTTTAGTATAAAAAATATGATTCAATACTGATCTGAGGCCTCCTCAGTGTGTGTCAGTACATTGCATGCATCTGGGAGTTCATGGGATATGGGCAAAAGTATATTGGCTTGCAAGAGACTCTAGATTAGACATCCTGGATTGTGCAGAATAGGGTGAGCATGCTTCAGATAGAACTGGGGTTTGGTTATGCTCGTGGCAATGTACCAAAACAAATTGGTCCTGTCCTTAATGTTAGCAGGGAGTGCTGCATGTGGCAGGGTACAGCTAAAGCTAGTGACTTACCCTGCACCTTCTCTATTTCACTGAAGGTGTTTCATGAAAGCCTTGGTTGACCAAAGCCATGATGGGGCTGGTGGGGGGAGGTCTATATCAGTAGGATCATTTGATAATGACCAATTTCAAATTCCACATTTACTGTGCATTGGCATTCATTCTGTGTAGTAGCAACAGTAGAAAGTGCTGACTTCATTTATTGTAGCTTGTCCAGGCATGGGAGGAATCGATTCTGACAACAATCCAGCTTTTGGTCCACATGCCATCAGGTTGAATGTGCAAAACAGGAGGCCAATAAGATCATAGTCTGGAGTTTCTTCTTTGCTTTGTTTGGATAAGCCAACAGCTGGCTTGTCCAAGCAGAGTGGGTATGAGTTATGAAGAAGCTCTGACTGCGTGCATATATAGTTCTGCAAGCAAAGCCAGAATCCTGTCAATTGCCAGCTTTTCTAGACAGAGTGGAGTTTCAGTTCTGATAGTGATTGAGCTTTGCGTGCACAAACCGTGAGTCGGTTGTCCTGTTCAGACATGATCCTGCTGTGTGATCCTCCACATCCTAACTCTAATCCCAGGGGATCACGACTCATAGCTTGAGAACCTCTGCCCTATACAAAGGGAAAGTTAGTAAGGGTCAATGCAAAAACTACCATTTATTCAATGTGCCTGGGAAGCTGTTTGGCAGAATTCAGATCAAAAAGGTGCAAAAGGTGACAACAAGCACAATTTGGGAAACACAGCATAGTCTTATGCTAGGCAGGGGGTATGTAGACCAGATTTTTGCTCTTCAGCAAGTTATAGAGATGTACGAGTGTGAGAAAGTTTGCTGATCTAGAGAAAATATATGGCAAAGTGAGTAAGCTTGAATTATAATCTATGCATGAAGATAAATGGAATGTTGAGGAGGATATAATATAAGGATGCGTGTGGTTTCTTTGGTTGTTAATGTGTTGATAAATCTACAAGGAATACATCAGGTGACAGTAGAGGTGGGTGAATTTGGAACATGAACCTAAGTAGAATTTTTTTATGCAGGTGCAAGCAAAGAATCCAAGGCAGAAATAATAATTTGACTAAGAAGCCGAATGATTTCCTGGGAATGTTAGATTTTATGATGCCATGAGGAATAAAGATCTGAAAATTAATATATCAAAACACAAGACAGTTGTGTTTGAGTGAAAATGCAGTGAACAATTGCAGATTATGCATATACATAATGAAAAGTGACCCATAAACAATGTGTGTCTTGGTGGAAAGTCTACTCAAGATGGAAAAACAGATGGAGAAATTTTAAGATACATAAATGCTGGTAGAAAAGTTAGGGGTAGCGTGTGGTGTTGTAAGGAATAAAAGTTTGTCAAAAGAAGTGAAAAAGTTTGTCAATAAAGTGAATAAAAATTCAC